GTTTTTTTTTTTTTTTTTTTTTTTTTTAGAATTTTGCGCTTTATGCGACATTTCCGCTGTAAACGCAACAAAGTGATAAATTAAAATTTGTTTAAGCTCAGCGCAAAATTATGAAAGTCCGACGACAAAATAAAGCGGTCACTGTCATCTGTACGTCTCTGTGGAGCACCGCCTCCCTCCATGCCTGCCCCTTGCACCACCAAAGCCCGCAAGCCACTTGGCGGGGGCTACGTCCATCTTCATTTACACGCTCTCACTCTCAGAAGCCAGAGGCCCCATTTACATTTCTCAGCCGCATTATACACACACTCACACACACACAGAGAGTAATGTATAATGAGGCAAGCGACATCTGACAACTGGATAAAATGAGACACATTATATACATTCATATATACATATATATGTATACTATTTATTTTGTACAATTTGCAATTGTTGATCTCAAATATTTATAATTAATTTAATTTGCTTACTTAGCTGTTCTCGTTTCTCTATGCCTTGTAATATGCTCTTTGTAATTTCAGGTGTGTTTCTAGTACCTTATTGCATAATACTCTTCATATGCAGCATACCGCTGCTGTTTATGGAGCTATCTGTGGGCCAATACACGGGCCGAGGTCCCATCGGTGCGCTGGGTCAGCTCTGTCCCCTATTTAAGGGTAAGTCTCATAATCTCTTGTCTCCCAAATTATCGCTGCTTTCAAGATATCTTTGAAATTTAGCTATAGTATATATATTAAATGTGTAAAGATAATGACACTAACGTTGATTGTGCTTATCGTATGGAACTTGTTTGATTCATCGATTAGATAAGTATATATTCTATATAAGTTTGTCAGACAAAATAGCTGGAACTGTAAATATATCTATATCGATGCAACATGCGGCGTATGAGTAATATTTGGCAATCCCTCACGCGCTCTCTCTCTCCCTCACTTGCTCTCCTGAGCCACTTAAGAATTTTCAAATCCGTTTAAGATTTTGTGAACAGCTCGCTCCCAGTCATATATCATAAAATTGAGCCTCATTGCGTCATTTCGTTGAGATATTTACACGCTTTATAGGTCAGTGCGAGTGCGTCACGCTGTCGCGCTTCGAGTAACTAAATTTAGAAATGTTCTTTCCGCCTAGTTAATTAGCAAACAAAAAAGGCATTCACTAAAATATGAATATAATATAGTACAATGGAGCGAAAACAAAACTCCAATTGAGATTTGCCTACGTGCCCATGACAAAGCAAATATGGGCGCCGCCTGGTAAAGTTCACTGCCAATGTCAGAATAGACCCAGTTAGAGCTGAACAAATAGTTGGCCCACGGCGTGTTGAGTTGACAATTTACAAAGCCGCCGAAAACGGATGCCGAAAAACATGTGCAAAGATACCCTGTAAAGAGGTATATGAGCATACCACTTTTGCTAATGGAACTGCAGAGATTTTTTTACAAAATATATGTTTTTTTTTGCATATGTGTGAAGAGTGTAGAATATATTGTTTACAGCTTGACAAATTCATCTAAAGAGGCACATTTTAATAAATTTATAGTCATAAGTTGTTATTTATTTAAGCGAACGTACACTCTGTATGCGAGTACTTAGTTTTATTGTTAGTAATTCGTATGTAGATATTAGTTCAGTATAGGCTCTCTATACATCCCCTACAAAATGCCAAGCCATAGTCCAATCGACCGCTCTGCCACGCTTCCGCACACCTTATCTAAACATGCAGGGTATACCATAATCGTTCTGCCTAGCTTTGCTCGGCTGGCAGTGAAACTGAAGCACTTGCCTTCTCCATCTACTGTAACAACTGAAATTCACATTCGAATGAGCCGAGACACTTGCTAATTATTTAGTATCATTTTTATGGGGCTGGCGCGAAAAGGCGAAGTGTAACTTGAACCTGAAACGGAAATGTTTTGAGCGATATACGTACGCGTCTTGCGAGCGTTTGTGAGATACCGCACCACCCGCACCACACCGTACCGTATCGTAGTCACTCACCAAACCAAAAGCAGTCAAAGGCCACACTCATAAATCTCAACAAACAACATTATTTTGACATATTTGCAAAGCTCTTGTTTACAATATTTTGCCAATAGAATAGCCTTGGCACGCCCACACAGGCCCAGGCGCTCGCCCACGCCCACGCTCACGCCCACTGTCAAACGTCAAACCTGCAACCAGATGCGAACTAATAAATATTAATAGACATTTCTAAGCCAACAAATGGCTTTAATTGGCTGCAGCGGCACGCGGCCAATTACAATTATGCAGATGAGTCCAAGTCTAGACAAGTGATTCAAGTGAACTGGTCTAAATTACAGCTTGAATCCAAAATGTAACTCTCCGAGCGTGCTGCAATCTGAAATCCTGAGCTTGCAGGGAAATGAATATGCAGAAAAACAAATGCAAGACTGCTATTAATCATATATCATATTGGATTCCATAGTCTATATTCCCATTCAAGAAGTTGAACAACTAACCGCTCACCTAGGTAGCTCGAGCACAATCTCAACCCAATAGGTTTATATATTTAAACATATAATTAAGACATAAAACTGATTCTTTGCAGGTGCCGGTCTGGCCAGCGTAGTTGTCTCGTTTCTCATGTCCACCTACTATAGCGTCATAATAGGTTATTCAATTTATTACTTTTTCACATCGTTCAAAACGGAAATGCCGTGGGTTGATTGCAACAACAGGTGAGTGGGCGTGGCACTGTCCGAAATCGTATGCTGAATAAACATAATAATCCTTTTATTCAAGATGGAACACACCCGACTGTTGGGTGCCACAGCGCAAGGAGCTGAACACCACTGCGCCGGACACTTCTCGCACGCCCTCCGAGGAGTTCTTTGAGTATGCAACAAGAGAAGAGCTGAAGAGAACTTTAATATTAATAATATTTCGCATATATTTTTGCAGAAATAAAGTGCTGCAGATTAGCGCCGGGCTGGAGTATCCGGGCATGATGCGCTGGGAGCTGTTCGCCTGCCTCGTGTGTGCCTGGCTGATGGTCTACTTTGCCACGTGGAAGTCAATCAAATCGTCGGCCAAGGTGCGCTATTTCACGGCCACGTTTCCCTTCGTGCTCATCATTATTCTCATGTTCCGGGCGATCACGCTCGAGGGCGCGGCCGAGGGCCTGCGCTTCTTCTTCCGGCCCAACTGGTCGGAGCTGAAGAATGCGAACGTGTGGATCAATGCTGCCTCACAGAACTTTAACTCGCTGGGCATTACGTTCGGATCGATGATCTCGTTCGCCAGCTACAACAAGTACAACAAYAACATACTGCGAGACACGATTTCGGTGAGCCTGGTCAATATGGGGACCAGCTTATTGGTGGGCATATTTGCCTTCTCCACGCTGGGCAACCTCGCGCTGGAACAGAACACGAATGTGCGCGATGTGATTGGCGATGGACCGGGCATGATATTCGTGGTCTATCCACAGGCAATGGCCAAGATGCCATATGCCCAGCTGTGGGCAGTTATGTTCTTCTTCATGCTGCTGTGTCTGGGCCTCAATTCACAGTTTGCCATAGTCGAAGTGGTGGTCACATCCATACAGGATGGCTTCCCGCGCTGGATTAAACGGCATCTGGGCTACCACGAGATTGTGGTGCTCTTTGTCTGCGTCATCGCGTGCCTCTTCGGATTGCCGAACATCATACAGGGCGGCATCTACTACTTCCAGCTAATGGATCACTATGCTGCCTCCGTGACGATTATGTTTCTGGCCTTCTGCCAGATGATTGCCATAGCCTGGTTCTACGGCACCGGGCGACTCTCGAAGAATGTTAAACAGATGACGGGAAAGGCGCCGTCGTTCTATTTAAAGTCCTGTTGGCTGGTGCTGGGACCCTGTTTGCTATTTGTGAGTGCCAAATGGGATTTGCAAAGAAACTATTCTGATTCGGTGTATTCCAGGCCATTTGGATACTGAGCTTGATCAACTACAAGGAGCCGACGTATCACAATGGACGCTACACCTATCCAGACTGGGCCTACGGCATTGGCTGGATGTTTGCCTCCCTATCCTTGGTCTGCATACCAGGCTATGCTATCATCAACTTTATGCGCAGTAGCGGCGACAGCTTCTGGGAGGTGAGAAGTTGACATTGATTTATATCATTTAATTTAATTATATTTTCCATATTCACAGCGCATTAAAATTACACTGCGTCCCAATATTTACGAGTGCAAGATCTGTGGTGAACACCACTGCGAACACGACTATCCGGAGCAAGAACAGTACATGCTGGCGCAGGAGCTGGGCAACGTTTACAAGCCAACTATAAAGCCGAGCCAGAAGACAGCCTACAATGCCATGCATGCATCCAATGCAGAACCACACGGCGTTCACACTGAGTACACGTACCAGTCCAATGAGGAGCAAGCGACGCAGCCGGCGACAGATGAGCACAGTGTGAAGTAGACCTTGGGCTTGGCGAAAAGGTCCTGTTTCCTGTTCAATTGTTAACAATTTCTCTGAGTATTTTTAATACATAATTTGTTTTAATTTGCAAGCAATAAATACAATAATATTTAATTAAAATAATATTTTTAATAACAACAATTTGTGATCAGTTGTTTCCACAGATTAAAGAATGCATTACAATAATTAATTGTTTTGCATTTGAAAATGATTAGAAATATTTAATATATCAAATCTTTGAGACTATAGCTTACTACGCTTAATATCTAACAATCAATTACATGATTATGTTGCACATACTTACCACATCATGGCAAAGTAACCAGTTTAATAGTTCCATGAGAATTGCTATAATATATGAAATACTTGCTCAATGCTGAACCACTCTTAAAGCTGCTGCACATAACGATACAACAAATCTGACTCTTCAAGCTTGGGCACCGCATTGAAGTTCCGCGGCGTCTTGCAGTACTCGGCATAAATGAGTAGACTCTTGGCGGGCACAGTTGGCGGTTGCACACTCAGATAGGAATCGGTGCCGTAGTCACTTAGCGAACGCAGTGTGATGCCTCGCATCATCTTGGCATGTTCCTGTTCCCGTTGAGCAACTGCCGTTTGGGTTGGCTGAGCGCCACCGCTAGACAGTTTTCCCATTTGCACGTAGTTTTTGTAGATAGCCATGCTCTGCTTGGGTGGCGGACTGATGGTGCAGCCATACACCTGTTGCATGGAAGGCAGCATTGAGGCTAGTGTGAATGGGACCGGCTCAGCTGTTTCCGTTTGCTTGGACTCCTTTTCGGCAAAGCTGGCACTGAGATCCTCGTCACTAGAACTGTCCTCGCCCTCATTAGAGCTGGAGGAGTTACTATTCATGGAACCAGTCGAACTTTGACCAGTCATCGATGGATTCTGTCGGGCCTTACGCGACGGCTGTATCTGACGCTGGAACGGACTGTAGTTGGTGCGGTATGTGGGCATGTATCGCGCTGCAAGTTGGCTGATCTCGAATTCGATGTGCTCGCTCAGATCTGTCCACTTGAAGGACTGATGGTAATTGGAGTAGGCATCAATCATCTCTAATCCATTACTGTGCACTCGAAACAACTCCTTGACCAGCTTGTTTTTGTCTGCGCAGGGGAAGGGCAAGCACTCGCGCACCTTGTGCCGCACCCAATCCGTGATTGATGCACTCGATGTACTCGGCACAAAGGCATTGTGCATATCGTAATCCGTTTGCAGCTCCCATATAGGCTGATTTACTGCAAATATAGAATATATTAGTGAAAATATAGAACTCGAACAAGATTTATCTTACATTTTGGCTTGTAGAGACCCAGAAACAAGTTAATGCTCTGCTGCTTCTCCGTGTCGCTGAATGTATTGCTGTAATAACGACTCAGAGTCTGCATTACATCGTTGCCCTGCGACGCCCAAGCGGCCGTCTTGCGATAGGTCTTAATACGATGCACTAGCTGTGAGCCACCATACTGCAGAGCCAAGGTATCACCGTGCTCCTCATACAGATGCTCCAGCATGGTTACGCAATCCGAGTCAAACTCCAGTTTGGCTGACTTCAGAAACCCCAATCGCTCTAATTGATTGCCTAGGGCGCACTTTCCAATGGCAAACTGGGCCGAGTTGGTGCGATCCAGGCAATCAACACAATTGGTCCGAACGATGCCCGTCTGGAAGCTGAGCTCGCTGCCCCGATGCGCCTTATAGAACATGCCCGTCATCTGGATAATATTTGCCGCATGCACCGCCAACTGTTCCATGACGTTGCCGCCGCTGAGACGGCTCTGCCGTGCCATATCAAAATGTATGTGCTTCATGCGATGTTGAGGCGGCAGGAATTGATTGAGATATTTAATGCTGTTCTGCAGCTCCTTGGAAATTATGGACTCATGCTTGCGCCGCTCACGCTTCTTAACCAAATTCAGCATGATAAGCGGAGAGCCGTAGTGGAAGAGCAGGCGCTCAAAATGTCGAGACGGCGTTTGGGCATAGGGATCACAGATGTCCAGCTGTATGGGCGGCTTTGGCACCATTTTGCTGATGTCCTGCGACCAATGGGATGGTACTGATCCGCGCATTTGAGTGAAAGCGCACAGGCGTTGCCGGTCACTGACAATCTGCTCCGTTTCAACTTCATTAGCAACATCGCCCTGCAAGTATATCTTATGTTAATTCCCTACATATTTTTCACTTTGTTTACATACCTTAAAGTTGGCACCGCGCTTCAGAAATCGTGTGCCAGCAAAGCGGCTGCTGCGTCGTGCTATGAGACAAACATTCACATGCCTGCCAAAGATGCTAATGCAGGATTGGCTAACGTAACCGTGTGTGACCTCCAAGAGCCAATCCTTATGCATAATGCCCTCCATCGGCTGCAGCAGGTAGGCGTTCCACACGAAACGCTTCCGAGAAACGCTGCGAAAGGCATAGTCAACCCGTTCGTGGGCTTGAGCCACATTGTTCGTCAGCGTATTCCAATCGGGCAGCGGCTCATCCCGCTCTAAATTCAGCTTTGTACCAACATAGCGTGGAGCTGATTCGTTATATTGCAACGTTCGAGTCAGGTCGTACGAGTAGGAGAAGTAAAAGTTGCTGCGTAGATCAATATTCTGAAATATGCGTTTGTAGCGCTCCTCATGCGGATGTGGAGGCCGCTGTGAGGTCACCTCGTTTACGCGAACCATCACCGTGTCCTTGATGGTGTACACCAAATGCATGCCAATATGGGCACAACATTTTCGCTTGGTCACCAGTATCAAGTAGTAGCCCTCGAGGAATCTAACAAAGCCCAATACTCCATAGGCAGAGGTTACTTTAGGCGAGCCTGTTAACGAAGACACAAATCTGCGTATCTCCAAGTTGTTGAACTCGTTTGCATTTTCCTCGATGCTCAAGCGGTTAAGCGCCAACCGATCGATGGTGAGCAAGCGAAATCGCGTTTCGCGGTTGTTGCTGCCCACCAAATACAAGCGCTGAAAATAAAGATGAATCCAACTTACTTGATACAATCTATTGATAGCAAAAACCTTACCGAGCGGGTTTCATAGAGTACCACTTTTTGTATGGAACTTATAAGTGGATTAAATATAATATTTGGATTGTCATTATTCATTTCTGCACAAAATCGTCGATGCTAATAACAAAGTAAAAAGCTATCGACCTATCGATGTATCGAAGTGGGCGGTATACAAATTGCCGTTGAATAAATATCTTAACATCTTATCTACTTAAGCTAAACAACTGTAATAATGTGTTGATTATTAAAAATCAGACTTTTTGAAGCACTATTTGCTTAATATTCATACAATTTCAGACCAATCAGAATGTTAATTTTTAAAATTCAACTGTTCTTGTTTGCAGACAGGGCTGTTACGCTATGTCAGCTGACTATATTATCGCTTTTTTTTAATAGGGCAACACTTGGCTTTTTTGTATACTTTTGTATTGTTTAGAGTAGCATTAAGAATTTAGAAATAAGCAAACAAAGAATATGACAGATTGGGGAAATATTTGCCGCATTTGCAGCAGCCCCGCAGACTATAATATATTTGCCAAGATACCAACATATTTGCACGGCTCAACAAATGAGTTTCTAAATTTTCAGAAGCCAATTAATGTACTGCTCGAAGAAACATCTGGACTAAAGGTAATAAGAGGAGAAAAAAAAAAAAAAAAAAAAAAACCATTGGAAATTTATTTAACTTTTACTTTATACTTTCTATAGATATCGCCAGATGACGGTCTGCCCTCTGTTATTTGCGCACTGTGCATATCGTATTTGAAGCACGCCGTAACATTCCGTGAACAATGTATTAAAAATGCACTCAGCCTCAAGCTAATCGAACTATATCAACAGAAGTCTTCAAAAAATAAGGCAGATAAGGAGAGTGCACTGATCACGGCAGAACAGTTGCGCTATGTGGAGCAACGACCAGTACACAATTTGCTGCTGAACAACAACAGAGTGAAGCTCGAAAGAACGGACAAAGTGCACAAGCAACTGCTTAATCAGACTGTGCCCCAACAGAGCGGCAACAGCGAACGCGAAATACGGTACTTAAACGATCTATTTAATAAGCAACGAAATGCCGCTCAGGTCAAAGTGGAGTTGCCATCGACAAGCGGTCAGACCTGCAGCGGAAATGGCACTGGCGAGGAGGAGGACTACGCGACGGTGACCTCCAGCGATGAGGAGAATGCGCTGTCGCGCAAGCACAAGAATATCTACAACTATAGTGAGACAAATTTCGAAGAGGATGATCCCATGGAACAGGCGCAGCTAAGAGACATCAAAGTGAATATACCCGAGCCCATGTGGAAGGAGCGCAAGTGTCCGGCCTGTTTCAAGCGATACATGCACGAGGATTCGCATAAATTGCATTTGGACAATTGTGTGGAATTCCAGTTTTTTAACTTTATCGATGAACTGAACAGGCTGCAAGAGATAAAGCGTCAGAAAATGGTATCGCCCCATGAGTTCATTCGACGTATGATATTCGCTTTGCACAAGACATGCACCTGGTTGCAGGAACATTCCATTGATAGCGAACTGGCTGAGAAACTGAATCAGGTTAAGATCACCAATGGCAGCAGCAGCAGCAGTGCGGACAAAGCTGACAAAATTGAGCCAATCAAGGAGAGCGTACCCAAGGCATCGACGTGCTGGGATAGTTATCCATCTTCCAATGACGATGGCATCTTTGGCAGCAGTTTACTCAAGTTCAAGAGCGGCTGTAACACACCTATAACAGCGGAGAACAATGTCCTATATGCCATAGAGCGCTCCGAGAGTCGCAACTCACAAAACACGCCCAATCCGGTAGTGAAGAAACCCATACCCATTCGGTGCACAGGGCCTCCAGCAGCAACCGTGACTGCTTCACCGTTGCACGAGGAGCGTGCTCGTGCCACATTTCTGGAAAAGTTGCAACGAGCCACTGGTACGCCACAACACCTGCAGTCGCCGGTGCCAATCACGCCCACCTCAGCAGCCCGTTGCTGTCAATGCAATTTGATATTCACTGCGGTGAGCGAACTCGAAATTCACAATGTTATGCATCACAATGGGCAGTGCAATGGAGGCAACGCTCTGGACGAAGAAGCCCAAAGGCGTCGTATTATTGCCCTATTCGAAGACGATATCTAATTTAGAATTTGAGTCTTAAGTTTACATTAATTTTATTCCGTAACAACGTTAAGTCTGAAAAGTCCCTTTACACGTTCGTTGTTTAATGCTAAGATTTTTAATTTTTGTTTAATTTATGTGAATCCCTCTGCGAATATCTGACTTATATCATCTACATATAAATACCAACGTTCATTCGCTTTAGCTATATATATATATGTAATTCGACTCTAATACTTAAGTATTTATGAAACACTTATAATCATATAACTTTAAATACAAAATTTATTTATGTAGTCTATACACACACTTAGAATAAGAAATACAATTTGGTGTTACCTCAGCCAATTAACGATACAATTTTAATTAATTTAAAGTGCAATGCATTCATTAAACAACTGAAACATTTTTCGTTATGTAAACTTAAGTTAAAAACTTCATTATATTTAAAATTCATTAAACAACTCGTATATAATATATAACACATACATTAACATTAATTCATGCGAACTCAGGTTCAAAATTTAATCATATTTAAAAGCTAATTAGTTAGGCATAGACTCGAATGTGTTCCATCAAAAGTTCATTGTCCAACAGTTGAGCTTCGATTAGATTTTTTAGAAGCTGCATCAAATCCGGGGTTAGACTCGGCTCCTGCAAGGCAAACAATTTATTTAAAGCGCTAACCAGTTGGTCCGCCTGCAATTCTAATTGACTATTGTCTGGATATGTGGCAAAGATGTTGGCGATCACTCGAACGCCGTAAACGATGCGCAGTTTGCCGGCAGTTGTGTTCGGATCAAAATTTACATTTTCCATGAAAAAACTGAGCAAATGCTGAAAATGAGCTGCGCACAAATCGCGCTCTCGGTTAACGAGCTCCAACTGGAATACAATATACATGTAATAATCGGCCCCAGATTCGCCTGGCTGCTTCTTGTGTAGGTTCTCGGCAATGTAACGCCGATCCTCTTCTCGAATAGAACCAGCTGCTCGAGTGGCTATCAAATGCAAGCAAATGCCAGCATCTTCCTGATAGCCATGGGTATCGCTTGAAGGCAGTGTATACAATTTCCACAATTTGCTGGCCAATTGCATTTGCAGCAACATACTGGCCGACTTGCTGCACGTGGCCAAAATGTTGGCCAGCGTCCAAAGGCAACTGCGCTTCAGTCGCGGCTCCTGATTGTCCAAGAACGTTACCAAGTAGCTGCCAGCCATTGTTGTTATTTTCTCGCAGACATGTGCGTCGCCTAACGAATAGTTGCACAGGCATTCGGCTGCTTCAATTTGACGTTTCATCTGCGTACCTATTTAGCGGATGATATTGAGTGATAAATGTAATTCTGAGTTGTCATCTGTAGCTACCTGTAAATTCCTTAATTATAACTTGAGTCGCTCCCTGAACTTCAGCAAAGGCGGTAATATTTTCGTTACCCTGCAAAAATGCATGGCTTAGCCGGTACATATCCTCGCCTGTGGCATGCTTACGACGCTTTATGCGACTCGCCATTCCTTGAACATCCTTAATTCCAAGGTTCTCCAATTCGCTAATTTTATCCTTGATCTGCCCCAAGCCAAAGCGAAGTGCATCTGTAGTATTTGTTCGCAATTCTTTTCGCTGTTGGCGAGCATACTCCCTTATTCTGAGCCGAAGAGCAGTGTCATTTATCTGAACACTTGTTGCTGGTGTTGTAGAGGATTGTGCCGCCATTTGTAATAATTTTTTTTGTAATAATTTAAGCCGACAAAAACAAATTTATTTACACCGCCGGCTTTTGATAATTATATGTGTGTGCCTTAGTAGAGCAACACTGTCCACTGTTTTGATGATGTGCGGTATTTATATTCTGTTGTTTTCGATAACATAGTATTTTTTTAACAGTGTCTTTCGGCCACACTGTTATTCAGTTGCATAAACAGTCGACCAAAAAGCAAAACAAATAGAATGTCGTTTAGTATAATGCAAAAGCTTTCATTGCAATGCCTAAAGGCTGATCAACCGCTCATAAGTAAGTCAAGAATAAGTTATATATTAAAAGACATACCCGACATTCTTTACTACCTCAACAGCAACAATACGAAACGCCAGCAAAAAGACCGGCGGTAGCACGCGGAACAAGAAGGGCCATCCGCGTCCGAAACATCGTGGTTGGCGAGTGCAAGACGGCCACTATGTGTCCCATGGAACCATTTTGGCTACCCAACTAACGACCCGTTTTCATCCCGGATTGAATGTAAGTAAGCTTGTCCATTACTGATATCATTGATAATTATAATATTTTAACCTTTATTGTAGGTGGGACTTGGACGTAATGGCACATTATTTGCCATAGAACATGGCAAAGTTGTAGTCAGCTGTGAGCCCATTGATCCAAACTGGGATCACACCTGGATTCAGCGCAACTATGCTGGTCGCCAAGATCAAACTATTCATAAGAAATTTTTCAATGTAATTCCTGAGAAGCAGCATCAGCGTTTCCGCCTTGTGGATGAAATCTAAATTGTTATTAAAATGTATTTAAAAATCAGTCATGAGCTCTGACTACTCCCATTGAATGCTTGAGGAGCACTGACTTTGATGCTCCATATTAATATGATCGATCATGAAAGTACGACACCTGAAAAATACGAAGCTGAGCGGACCTTATGCACAACCAGTGTAGCTAAATACTGAGCTCCGAAATAGTCTGAATTGTGGTAGTAGGCTGAAGCAGTCCTCTAGGTGAATTGCACTGGCCGATTGACTCCCATCAGGCCTGGGTGACAGAAGAAATGCTGCAGCTGCTGCTCCTTATATAGGGCGACTTTCACTCAAACACTAAGTCGCTCTCAAATGTTGTGCCCGTTGTTAAGGTAGGAATCGTTGCACTCGAGCTTTAAGTGACCAATGGGAACAGCCTCTGCTGCTGCCAGCATTCCAGCTTCATTTTACCACTGAATTTACTCAATATATAATATAGGATAGATCTAGCCTCAAATAGGCTCAGTTGTGTGCAGCAAAACTTGCAGAAGTTTGATCTAGATTTCTCATCTATCTATGTATGTGGTAGTGAGAGCCTCAAGGTTGAGTCAAAGAAGTTGGGGAACAAGAAAAATTGTATTATTTTTTTTATTTGAAGCTTAGACGACCATGCTTTGGAACTAGATATTTTTGGATTTATGAACCGCTGTTTTAATTTTAAACTGAACTATCGGTAAGCCAGTGCTGAACATTGTCACAGCTATCGATATCGATTAAATAAATTCTGTTTGCTCTTTGCTATCGATAGTGCCATCGGCTCAACAGCTCTATTGCCGCTTGCCGCACACGTGTTTGCACCGTAGCACATTTCTCATTTCATTTTCTTGAAAATAATCTAGTACGAAATATAAAGTAAAATGGCAGAAGAGACTGTAAATGCAGAGGTAAATGCCGAAGTCAAGGAAGTAGAGAAAAAAGTTGAGGAAGTTGTCGAGTCCGAGACCGAGACCGGCAAAAATGGTGATGTGAAGAAAGATGACACAGAGGCTTCAGCGGGCGAAAACAGCAAGCAAGAGCGCGCAATTATTCGGCAAGTTGAATACTACTTTGGAGATGCGAATTTGCATCGTGATAAGTTCCTTAGCGAACAAATTACAAAGAACGAAGGCGGCTGGGTGCCACTCTCAGTGCTGGTCACATTCAAACGTTTGGCATCGCTCTCGACAGACTTCGAAGAAATTGTGAATGCATTGAACAAATCCGATGAAGGCCTCGTGGAAGTCAGCGAGGACAAGCAGAGTGTGCGTCGTCACCCCGAACGCCCAGTTCCCGAGCATAACGAGGAGCGTCGCAAGGAGATTCAGGAGCGTACAGTATACGCTAAAGGCTTCCCATTAGAGTCACAAATGTCAGAGATTCTCGATTTTGTCAGCCCCTACGATAAGGTGGTCAATGTGACAATGCGCAAGCATTACGACAAACCCACAAAGTCGTACAAATTCAAGGGCAGCATCTTCGTCACATTCGAGAAGAAGGAACAAGCCAAAGAATTCCTTGAAAAGGAGAAACTCGCTTACAAAGAACGTGAGCTGCTCCGCAAGTGGCAGATTGATTATCTAAAGGAGAAGCAGGAGGAATATCAAAAGAAGAACGAAAAACGTAAGAACAAGAAGGAGGCCAAACCAGAGCCCGAAATTGAATTGCCTAAAAATGCGATCGTTGTCTTCGAGGGAGCCCCAGACACTGTCACACGTGAGGAAATACGCGAGGCTTTTGAAAAAGTCAAGGACTTTGATATTGCCTATATCGAGTTCAACAAGGGCGACACCAAGGGCTCGGTTCGTCTCACAGAGGCGGATGCGGCCGACAAATACATTGCCAAAGTGGAGGATGCTAAAGTAAGATATCATAAAAACATAATTTTCTTTGAAGTACTTATTTATTTCTCCACTTACAGCTCAAATTTAACGATGAAGTCTCTCTCACCCTGCGAAAGGCGAACGAAGATGAGGAGAAAGAGTTTCTTGACAAGGCGATTGAGTTCATGAAGAAGCGCCGTGACTTCTCACGTGGCAAGAACAACAAGCGCTTCGGACGCAAGCGTCACGGCGGTCACGACAACAAAAATAACAACAAAAAGCAACGCTCAGAGTAGCGACCCCCTCACCTGAATGAAAATGAAAAACAAACAAGAAAAAATGTTAGCTCTAGTTGTTAGCTTTAAGCGACCGCGTTTTGTGACATCCAATTGCAACTATTACTAGTTTTCCAATAACATAAGTCTAAGATCAAAGTATCTTTGAAATATGTATAGTTTACATAATATGAGACGAACTCTAATTTATTTTAAATTACCGAACATAATGTTTTCTTTTATGAATAATTTGTTTACTCTTGGTGAAAGAACAGTTAAAATAAATATATCAGTTTGTAATCTATCATATATACGTTCTTTATTTGTTGTTGAAACGGGAAGCTTTCGGATGACGCATTTCAAATTCTTTGGGGCTTTATTTTATCGTGATTCATTAATCAGAAAGAGTAGCATTCCGCTCGAATTTAATTTTCGAGAAATATGACTTCAAATTGAAAGGAAATGTATCTTTTTTAGAAGTTTTTTATATTTTTTTTATTGCTGTTTTGTATATTTTCGTTTTTAGTTTAGTGTTTGTATTGTGTTTTTTTTTTTGTTTGTTAAATGAGAGAAATATTAATATACATACAAATGATTTATTTTTTTTTTTGTAAAAACTAATATATATATATATTTACTTCATAAATTACAATTTTTTTTTTTTTTTATAAATTACAATACGCAAAAAAAAAAAAAAGAAGAAACATAATTTTTTTTTTTTTTGTTTTTGTTTTCTTATATCGTTTAGTTAAACTATGTTATAATTTTTTTTTTTTGTAAAATTATATAACTAGTCGCAATTTATTTATAGGTATTTATAATATTTTTTTTATGAGAATAGTGAATCAGCTTAAAGGGAGTTGGTTTTTAGAAAAGTTACTACTTGAATAAACAAAACGAATTCTAATCTTTTCCAACAAGAAAAAGATTGAAAAAAAAAAAACAAATAAACAAAAAATAGAACAGTGCAAGCACATAATTATAACAGTATAAAAAAAACTTTGCCCAGTCGCAACTTAAGGATTCAATCTTTAAGGCCTATGCGTAAAAAAAGCATAAACTGTGGAGCGCTTTGGATTTGTTTTTGATATTGATAACCTATTTAGAGACGTTCACATATATCTCCTAATGGGGCATAGTAAATCGTTCTATATGAAAAAAAATTTTTTCATTAGGGTTTGTGCATTAATACGAGACCTAATCAACATTTATACATAAATTAAACAATTACAAACAACGTCATCGTATTATATATCGCACGGGATTTTCATTATCTATATGAATTAATATATATATATATTTAGGTTATATCAGTAGAGTATGTACGAATGTATTTATATGGTGGGGTGCGCGCTCAAGCATGTCCCTAGTCAGAAGAGAAAGAAGTTCTCAGCGTTGCGTTTCTCCCATTTCTCATTTTTGCTAGGGGTTGTACACTTAACACTAGACTAACACGATCTAACGATTTACAACGATAACTAAGCGCTTGCTTCAACTCCAACTCTCTCTCTCTCTTTCTCTCCTCTCTCTTTCACCCTATCTGTCAATCTTATGTATACAACAGTCCATCCAAAATATGCATATGTAAGTTATTATATATATATTTATATATAATGTGTATAATGTAGTTAATAGTGCTGCAGACCGCCTTCATCTGGTCTATTTCCAGACAGGCGTCAGATCCAGCGTGAGATTCTGTATCGTCCGATTGCGTGCCGAGCTACGCTTTTGCTTCACGGAACTGGTGATCTCATTGACGAGACCCTGGCAATCATTGCAAACGGTCACCTGCTCACCGCGTAGGTTTTCCTTCTGATCTTGTTGCGTCTGTGCTAAGTGGCTGCCCGACGAGAAAAGCGCAAAGCCGCGCGAGAATCGCGATCTATAAGAGAATGAGAAAGGCTTAGTGTTAAGTAATTCTGTCAAGCGTCTTGCTTTGGAGGGCAGTACTTACTTGCGCTCCAGTGTGCTGCTGTTCGATAGAGGCCGATGCGCCGGGCTGTGCACGGGCAGGCTACGTGGTCCCTCCATGCTGCGGGACATGGCGTTGTTGTAGTGCTGCTGCTTCTGATGGTACTGATGCACGCCGGAGGGACGCGTTGCGCCCGAATAGGAGGCCGACATGGATGCCTGATCGTGCAATGCCTCCACGGCTTGACCAGTGGCAGCAGCTGCCGCGGCTGCTGAGCCAGGGCCAACACTAATGCCCGGCGTGCTCATGTTTGATCTTTGGTGCTTGGGCGATGAGGGTGCACTACCCACTGTGCTGCGAGTCTGTGCGAAGATTAGAGATTAATCTTTAGCTCATTCTAATGCATACTTACACTCACCTTACGATCTGACTCGGAACGCAGCAGGCGCTCGATCAAAGATTTGGGGAACTGATCGTCCATGATGTTGCCCGTGGATGAGGAGTGCATGTGGTGGGCGTGGTGCGATGGCGATGGCGTATTCGAGCTGGCCGGACTGGACAGCAACGAGGGTGAGATCAGCACCAGTGGCACATTGCGAAAGTGCTCCGAGGGTATACGCATCTTGGTGTAGCACTTGGCGCAGACGGTGCGTTGGCACAGCTTGCACTGAATGCCCCACGGGCCGAAGAAGGAGAAGCGAGTGCGCAGGCACAGAAAGCAGACACGACGCTTTTCAACATCCTCCTTGACGCGCACATCCATGGGCAGGCCCTCCAGCTCGGCTTTGGTCATGACGGAACGTATGTGAACGATCTCCGCTAGCGTAACGGACAGACGATCATCCCCACGTTCCATCCAGGTCTGTTTGTCCATAAAGGACTTGTTCCATGGGCCAAGCGAGGATGTTGAATGCGACGCCGTCTCATCAGCTCCAGACGTGGCGAGTGGCTGCTGCTGCAGCTGTTGCTGCGGCTGCTGCTGCTGCTGTTGGTCCAGTGACTGCAGCTCCTCGGGTGTCTTTTTCAACAGCTGCGCAAAAACAAAGCATTTAAATAAGTTCCTGGATGCGTCATAAGATTAATTGCACTCAGGTGTAGCTTACCTCTTTGGACGAGCCACTTACGTCATCCGACTGACGCGACTCGGGCCGCGTGGGTGGCATCGAGTGCGTCTCATCCAGGTTGCTCTGGCAGCCAACGATAGTGTGACGGCGCACAGAGCTGCGTCTCGCCTCGTTCTGTGCGCTCAGGTCGAAGGCTAAGAGAGGTAGAAAGGGAAGAGTTGTCATTAATTGTGATGCGACATTGAAGGACGGTCAACATTGCGTATGCGTTATGTGTTTCATTGCATGTGTATGTGTGTGTGTGTGTGTGTGTGTGTGTGGATAAATATAAAAAGTAGAGCAAACGATAACGAAAACGAGAACAAGACATACACAAGCAGGCAGGCGAATGGAGACAGCGGAAGAATGTTTTATAGGTGTGTGTGTGTGTATGTGATACGTATATATGCAGAGGATGTATGTAAAACGCTTTCAGAAAATGTTTTTAAAATATAAAATCAAAATTGAATTATAAAATCGATATAAGACTATTTCAGAAGGAGTAACTGATATTGAAATTAGTTTGATGATATTTGTATATTGGTATTTAATTAGAAATTTTTTGGTTTCCATTTCTTTATGGCAGGACTCAAATGATTCGATAATGAAATAAACTATATGTTTTCAAATGACAAATATGGTATAGGTAGAAAACTATTTTAATGCATTTAGTTTCCAAATGTTATTAACTTCAAATGGTTAAAAACAAAAATTAAATTAAACATAATTTTATGAGTGAATTTACTGAAATATTTGCGTTTCACTTGGACGTGTTTTGTGTTAAATGTTTCGTATGAACGATGCAAGCAGAGGTACACTGTAAATCTTCGGTTATTCTCGCATATTTACATTCCAGCGCATTATCGAAGCTGCTGCCACATTCGTCCTGTTGCTGTTGTTGTTGCTGTTCCTCTGTGCAGCGCAAACAAAAAATCGTATTGCATAGTTTGAGGCGGCGTTAGCAATTTTTTCGGATTTTGTTCGTAATACATTTATAATTCTTTTAAGCGTATTTTTGGTGCATATTTGAATTAAAAATTTAAAATATATATACAATAAATATTATTCAAATAATATTTAATTTCTGTGTTAAGGCACATCAACCGAAAATGTTAGTTCGCTACAAAAATAAATTTGTTCCAATTCTTCTTTAACATTTTCGTTTTTATTTTGCTAAACTTGTTCAAGTTTATCAACTTCTTTACAAATATTTCGAGATTATTTTTCTTGTTGTGTGTGTGTGTGTGTTTGTGTGTGTCTGTGTCTGTGTGCATATCCATAACCGGCATCAAATGTCTTCAGCCTGCGCTCACACCAACATTCCAATCAACTATAGACTTCAGCCAATTCTCTAGTCGATCCATTATTTAATTTTTGTTCTTAGTGCGTTTTGGCATATTAAATAATACATTTGATTTTGTTAGCAAAATCATAAAACAATATTAATTAGCGGTATTTGTGTGTTCAGATCAATAAATAGGCCATGATTTAACAAACGTTCAAATACCTTTGCAAAGTAAGTTTTTTGTTTTGGTGTGGTGGGGGAGAGGGGAAGAGGGTTGGAAAAAGTAAGAAACAAAAAGATTGTAAATTAAAATTTAAATAAAATCAAAAACCACATTATATTAAAGCATAGTTGAAAATATTGCACAAGGTATATTATTATTATCAGTTTAAATGTTTATAAAATATTAAATTCTTGCCTTTTCGTTAACTAAAACCCATTTATCTTAGTGTATAAAATCGTATATTAACTCGCAAGACATTTTCTGATTTTCAATAAAATGTTTTTCTAAATTTCTCTACAAATTTTTAAACTAAGCATATAATTTATATTTAGCATATTTAAATTTAAAAGTTTTCATAAATTATAATATAAATTATATTTGCACGTGTAAATTGAATCTTTCATAAAAGTCAGTCTATTTTTATTTATTTGTATAATTGATTTCATTAAATTAATCAAGGCCTTCAAATCATCATTCATGGGCAGTTGTAAAGAGGTCACAGCTTAAGCTCAGACAACAGTTGAAAACTTGTTCAAGACATCGTTACGAACCATGAAAAAGCAAATGACAGACAATATATTGAGTTCCCCTTAATCATAAACAAAATAAACTACATTTTAAAAATAATAATTAAATAAATAATTACCTTGCTTTCGGCAACGAATTAGGGCAACTATTTTTATAGATACTCAAACATTATCTTTTTATATATCATATAGTAGAAATCAGTTTTAAGTAAATAATCAATAAACTATAATCTTTCCTTCAGCTCGTTCGTAATATTATCCATTAAAGCACTCACTGACAGCTCTACTGATTCTATAAAACACATATCAACTAGTGCTAGTTATTATCTAAGCTAACCCAAACAAGTAGCATTCTAACTAGTTTCAGTTGAAGCTTGTCGTAAGTAATCTAATCCCCCGAGAACTCGTTCCTTCATACCTTGTGCACATGTCATACATATACATATATATGTATATCTATATAGTATTTATACTAAGTGCCGATATCATATTACAGTATAGCTTGACTTACTTGTGCGTCTGGGTCGCAGTAGCATTGCCGGCGAGTCCTGTCTCATCTGGGAGCCAAAGTAGCCGCCAATGGGATATGGCGGCATTTTGGGCTGAGTGAAGCGATGCGATTCGGTGGCCGTTGCAATGGAGGCGTTGCTGCTGCTAATGCTGGAGTCATCGAAGTTCAGCTCATCATCCTGGTCAAGAGTATTTCGATTATTGTATAATTCCTCCATGTGGCGTGTGTGCGATTGGCTTACCTGCAGTTTTGAGAAATCCACTTTGATGAGCCGCTGCCGTGAGCGCGACAACGTTGAGTTTGTTGAATTTGGAAGCACTGCAAAAGACAATTGAAGAAGAAGAAGAGGAGATGTAAGTCTTGGATCCAAAGCGAAAGTAAATTAAACTAACTTAAAGCTATGGGAAAATTGATGCATATACCACTCTCTGTGTGACGTTTTCTTTGATTAGATTACATGCTCGGCAAGTTGTGCAAGTTGTTGCGTCTGACCTCTCACCCTCCCCCTCCCCTTGTGGGCCAACTCTAGACCCCGAGCGTAACCAGCTCCATGGAGCAGTCCATAGAGCAGTCGCCCTCTGCTCGACTCCATTCGCTTGGGTAATTAGACAAACGTCTTGGGCTGCTCTTTTACTTTGTCATCCTAGTGTCGCTTTGTTTGTCTCTTCTTCTTTCAGCTTTTAAGTGCTCTGTCTGGGCATTCGAGCAACCGTTAAGTTGGCGCATTTAATAGTTCTACACTCTACACTCCTCTTCCGCTTGTGCAATGCTCGTAAAAGTGCTTGGGAAATTAGCCAGAAGCGAGCGAGCGTCTCTTTCATGTGAGCTGAAAATCTCCATGTGGGGTAATTTTACATTTGCGCATTTAAAATATATATTTTTATTATTATTATTCAACTTTAAAGCACACATTTAGTTCTGCTTGAACTTTTGCTTAGCTAACAGCTGTGTACATTATCAAAATATTCAGTTGACAACTGGCTTTATGGGCCTAGCAATAATTGTGAAAGTTGAAAGTCGGGGACAAGCTAAGTAAATATAATTTGTTGTTTATTGAAAGATATTTTTAAAAAATGTTTAAAAATATATTTCAGTAACAACACAAAAGAAAGCAGTTGTCATTAAAATAATCAGCTAAAATTAAAAAAATAGCTAAATATAAAGAATTTTTAAACCTCTTTTCAAATACCCTTATGTTTTAAAATATTATTAAATTTATCTTCATTTTGTGGCATATTGAAAGATTTAAATAAATAAATATTAATATCTTTTTTTTTTTTAATTTCATAGAAAATGAAAAATTAAAATATTATTGTTAAAAAATTTTTTTGATCTACTAAACAAAAAAAGTAACTAAAAAATCAATGTAGCAATACTATTTTTTTGTCATAGAAAACACTCATATAATTCTTAATCAAGTTTATATGACGTCTCTATTTTATCAGCTTCTTTGTTATGGCTGACTGCAACTTAAATAGCTGCATTTACTACTTTTGCTTTGAGACCGGAACTTGCAGAAGCAACTAGCTAGCTAAGTATGGAATTTTTTTCAATGCAATGTGTGCGGCAACAACGGTAATTTGTTTGCTACCTTTTGATTTTTTTACAGCCTGACGCGGCTTTGGTGTTGGCGGATTGACAGCATTTGTAGCAGCAGCACGCGGCGCAGCACGTGGCGTTGGCTGCGGCTGCGACTGCGACTGTGACTGTGACTGTGACTGTGACTCAGCTTGCGACTCCGAGTGCAACTGCAATGGCAACTGAGCGGCAAGAACTGTCTCGGTTTCCGTTTCGCTGCCGCAGTAGAGCGAAGCATCGCTGGCAACATCAACGACATCCGCGTTGCGTACGATGTGATGCGATTTAAACACGGCGGCGGCTGTTGAGCGCTTGGCACTGGGCGTCGTTTGTTGCTTGGCATCCATTTGTGCGAGCGGCGACAGCACTTTCGTGTGTTTGGCTAAGAAAGTTGGCTTCCACTTTGCATTGCATGCGCAAAAATATATCCGCCAGCCTACCTATCGGAGCTGTTGCTCCACTTTCAGGGCACTTCAATTCACTTCACTTCACACAACAACAAAAACAACAAGAGAACACTTTGGGAATCACTTTTGTTGTTGTTTTTTTTTCTCCTGGATATTTTTTTTATACTTCTCGCTTTTCACTCTTGCACGGTTGCATTCGGGCTATCGATCCGACAGGCAACCAACCCCACAGCAGTTAGGCTAACAGTTGTTGTCCCATTTTTGGGGGTGTGTGTGTGTGCGTGTAGGCTGATGATTTGCTGGAGGTTTGATTAATTGACTTATAGACTGACAGACTGACTGACAGAGCCGCGGTTTTTTAACACTTTTGTTTCACGTATTTCTCATTTAAAGTGCTTAATCAGGTCGTTTTCATTTTCAACCCGCGCCACGCGTCGCCTGCGGCCAGCCACAACAACACGTAGCGACACCGCCGAAGCTTAACACGAAACTGTCTACAATCAACTGTCTCTCTGCCACGCTTATGCTCGAGCTCGCAAAGCTGACTGCGCAAAGCGCATGCGCCAAAGAGAAGCACACATTGCGAGAGAGCCAGAGAGAGAGAGAGGAGAGTGACCATATGTGTGAGTGTGTGTGTGAGTGCGAACTCACGCTTTGTTTTGTTTTGACATTTAACATTTAAAGACCCCGGCTACGCTGTTTGTGTACGTTACGTCACGAGTTGTGTGTGAGCGTCGGCGGCTATTGATGACGTCGCGCGTAAGAGAGCGCACAATGGGAGTGATTGAGTGCGTAAAGCTCTGCATTAGATTACTGCAAAAGTTTTCGGTCAGGCTAATGAAAGTGAATGAGCATGCTTAAGCAGTTTAACGGTAGTTGAAATTTGTGTTCATGTGTCATTGAGAGCTTTGCCCATACGAGGTGCAATGACGATTGTGTGACAAGTTTAATTCATAAAAATTCATTTGTACATATTATTGAAATTAATTTTCATGTATCACTTAAATTCTTGCTTATACGTTAAACATATTTGTATAAATTATAAAAATATGTAAACAGTTCCATTTGGCTTAGGTTTAGGATTCTCTCTACAAATTCTAAGTACTTTAAAGTTGATTTAAGCTCACACCCCAATATAAAAACAAGTAAGAAAGCTCCATTTCCATTTCCATTTCCATTTCCCATTTTCAATGGGTTCAGGGTATAACAAAAGCAGCTGCATGCTTTTCGGCTGAGTCACTAATAGCGCCATTTTGCAGGCAGCGCATATGGGTATGCAACACTGTTCAGCACTCTAGCAACCGCGGCAAGCTCGTTTGTCTCTGTCTCTGTCTGACGACTGCAGCGCGAGCAGCTGCTAAGCCAAACAAACAAAAGTTCACAGCAGACAAACAAACAAAGCGCCGGTGCGGCAGTCGCAGTCGACGTTGTAGTCCCAGTCTAAGCTTGTTGTCATCATCATCTTCGTTGTCGTCGACGTCTTTGAGGTTGTCGTGTTGTGGCCGCTGTTGTTGTATTTGCTGTCGTTGCCGTTGCCGTTGCTGTTGTTGCTGCAAGCGCTGCAGTGTTGTCGCTATCTTTGTGTGTCACAATTTTGCACGCTTCCTTCAGCAGAGGCGATTGGAAATTGTTGCCGTTTTTGATCTATGTTGGCATGCGCATGCCAGCAACGGCAATTGGCCAAGCAAACACAAACATAGACAGACAGACGGGCAGACAGTCAGAGACAGTTAGAGAGAGAGCGAGGGAGAGGGAGAGAGTCAGGCAGACAACGAGTGGTGGCTGCTGCAGGGGCGGCAGCTGCACGTCAGACAGGGGCGTACATTGAGGCACCGACAAGTGCAGTGAAAACTTTTCGTGGCTAACAAGTTTTTTCTCTTTCTATTTTTCTTTTTCTTTTTTGCCCCCACATGCCCAGAAGGCAGCCAAAGAAGCGACTGACAGCCCAGGCAGCAGCAGCATGTGTATGRCAACAATTTATGAACGGCTGGCGTTGATATTTTTTTTTTTTTTGGGAAACGCTGTTGACAACACAAGGCGGGAATCTTGTCAATACACCCACCAAATATGCATCGGAGGCGCGCAATTTCTTAACCCCAGATAGATGTTATAACCGTTTAGATGTTTCTCTTTAATGGCAAAGGTTGCCGACATGAAACAAAAAACTCGAGTTTTTGGCCCAACAATTTATTGGCAATTGCCAACTGTAAATATTTGAGCCTCAAGAGCTTATCTTAAACAATGACAAAAGGCGGCTTGCTTTTCAAGTCAAATGACTGCATAGTATTTATATAATATACGATCAATTGAGGTTAGTAAATAAAGAAAATGAATCATTTCTTTTGGAATTGGTTCGCCAGGTTTAATTTTCTTGCATACCTTCTGGGTTTGTTAAGAACATCTATAATTAAGCTAATTAATGTTTGCACTTACATTTCTCTATCTTTGGCGGGGTTATTTGCTTGAGTTCCTTGCCCTGACGTATGGACTCCATGAGCTGCTCCCGGGGTGAGGGCGTGCACTTCAGTGGGGGACCTAGCTGGCGTTCCGAGGCCTTGAATTAGAGCAATGCATAATTAATTATAATTAATTGTTAATATATAATATAATCTTTATATTTCATATTCAAATCCAAGTACGTTAAAAGTGAGCGAGCCAATGTATTTATTTTATAAAAAATATATATACATATATGTATATTAACATGTTCATACATACAACAGCAAAAATTGTTCACATTTTGATAGAGTGAGAGTGAGAGAGAGGTGCATTTGAAAGAGACAATAAATATCAATAGATTTTTCTTGATCTTGGACGATTCCATTAGGCATTTGCTGAAGTATTTGCTATGGAAATCGGGAACGCAACACACACCTTCTTTAATGGCGGCCGTGACCGGATGAACTCCAAGATCATCGCATGCGCATCCTTCTTCACGCGCGGCGGTATATCACCATTGACCATCACCTTGCGCAATTGGTACTTTCTGCGGTCGAGACAACATAGAAAGAGAAATTTTTATTTATTATTTTTCTGATGTTTGATTAGTTGTGGTTGAGTTTGATATTCTACAAAAGCTGATTTATGTTCGTTTGTGAGGGGTTGATTTATGTGTATATTTGAGGATTTTTTTGAGTACAGCCGAAAAAAAATTAAATAATTAAGTTTTTGTAGAAAGTATCAAATTATAGTATTATACTCAAGTATAAGTGCTTAAGTTGGCTGATACTTAAACTAAAACTCTAATTGAAATATGATGTTATTTCATGTGATTTTCCAAATCAAATATCTAAAAAAAAAAAAAAAATTGATTTATTTTTCTAGATTTGAGAGCCAAATAAATCTACTTTCATATTTATTAAACACTTTAAAAATAAATTTACTATGCTGCAGAGTATGAGTCAATTGGAAATTATCAATTGTGAAGTGAATTTATAGCAAGCATTGTATTTATAGAGGATAGTTGACAGCCAAATCATAACCTATGATCTAACAGTATATCAGCGAATTGAATTAAATTGAATTGTACAATTGTTTACTCACTTGGCGCGTATGTCGCCCATGAGTATCTCATAGGGCGTCAGCTCGTATTCGATGGGCGTGCGTTCATAGTTGCGCTTCTTCAGGCGAACGCCGCGTCGCAGCTCATCGATAACCTGCACCCAGAAGCGTGCCTGTAAAGTAGATGAGTAAATAAATATTAGAAGTTGTCAAATATGCACAGAAGATAGAGAAGAAATACATATACATATACATATACATATACATACATATGTTGTATATATACACAAATACATTCACAGACATGCTCTAGACTGGGAACTCATGCAAATTGGACTTTTTGATACTTGCAACGTTCTCCACAATTATGGTTCGTGCTGATTGGGCAGAAAGCAAGACAGAGCCAAGTCAGACAGGGAAAAGAAAGAGAGGGAGAGAGAGAGAGGGGAGATAGAGAGACTTTTGGTTAGGAAATTGCAATTGCCGCTCACTTTAATCAGCTCTGCACAGCGGGCAGCAGCTACTTAGTTGCCTAGCGGCCTGACTAACTGGCTGGCTGGCTGGCTTTTCACTTTTCCGCCGTTGCGAAAAGAAATATTTTAATTAAATTAATCATAATTTGGACCCGCTGTGATCGAGTCAGGCGCTTCAAAAGCCAATCGCTGCTCATTACATGCAATACGTACGACACTTCAGCTGCAACTGGTGGCTGTTGGCGGGTTAACAGTGCGTATGAGTGATGTGGGTATGTGTGATGTCTGCTGTTTGATGGCAGGAAACGTATTTAGCACACAATGGCAGACAGTGTGCAGAAAAGCAGACAGAGAGAGAGGGAGGAAGGGAGAGGGAGAGAGAGCGATGGAGTAAGAAGAGGAGGGAGGATGCGAGAGATTAATCCAGATGTAACAGTGATTCGCATTTTCACTTTTCATGGTGGCCGTCGTCGTCGTCGTTGTGGTCGTTGTTGCTTTTCCTGTTCCTTTCCTGTTCGACGACTGCGTCAATTGGTAGCAATAAATTTTGTGGCAGCTCATTAAACATGCAAAATAGTGGGGCACGAGCAGAGCGCTGCTAATTTGCACCCACCAAGCTGGCAGGCTGTGGCACACGTTGCTGTTGGACACAATCGCATAATCGGCACAAGGCAGCGGCGAAAAAAGTCGACAAGTGTTGCATTCAACGCTATGTTGTAGCTGCTGCGCTTCAATAATTGCAACAACAATAGCAACAGCAACAGCAACATCAACAGCAGCAGCGCATCATCGACAACGTGTGGCAGCTTCCGGAAGTGTTTGCAACAGTTTGTTGTTAAGCTGCCAAGTTGCACGAAACATCGCACATATGCGTAGCGCTTGCAAAACTCGGTGTTTCTTTATTCGTTTTTTTTTTTTTCGGGGCATCATCAACAGATATTAGCATCTAAACAATGCTCATCATCATTAACATTATCATTATCATCATCATCATCATCATGATTAGCATGTTAAGCAGCAAAGCGAAACACATGTGTAGGGCTGTGTCTAGGAAAATGCAGTTCATGTTGATATGCTCGATAGCATCGCCTAAAAGGTGAAAGAGATTCCCCCAAACAAACAAGTCATACGCATCCACACCAGCAACAGCAATAGCAACTGGGGCAAATGTTGAGTGCTGAATCAGAAAGCTATCAAATTGAGAGGTAAGAGATCACCTCTGGGGCTATCAAATAATTCATCAGAAGTCGTTGGAAAATAAATGTAATTTTCATAAAAAAGTTTCTTATATGCTATACGATAGTTTCATGAAAGCTTTCTAACAGCAATTGCGAGGCGGAACTAATACAATGAAGATCAGTTCGTAATATTGATACATTAGGTTTGAGTATGCCTTAAAACTGCGACAGTAAAGGCTTAGAATTAGCTTTCTAGTTGAAACGATATCAGAGGCAAAGCTTTCCTTAAAGCCTTAATGCGCTTTTGGATAGCTTACAAGAATTACAGCTTTAATGTGATTTTTGATCATTTCAAATCTTGCACGCTTCTAAATAATTAAGTTAACAAATTCTAAATTTACAATTTTCAATTTTTTTTTTTAAATTACTTGCGAAACCCCAAACAGCGCGAATATTACAATTCGATATTATCTAACATATTTTAAAACGGTATGCCCCTCATGAACTTCTTTGTTTGCAGTTAGCACATTAAAGCTTTGAGTGAGTTTTAGATCATCAAATGATGAGCATCAAATGATATCCAATTAAAGCTAGTTTTTATTGTTAAGCAATATGTAATCATAATTTAAAATAATACTGTTTTTTTATGTTTTTTTATTTTATTTACTATATATTTCATACTTCAAAGACAATGCAATCTCATATTTTTTTAAAAGTGAATCTAGCTTTAGGCAACTTCACCCCAACCAAAACTTGTATAAAAACTTTCCAGCTGTTTCTAGCAGGTTATCAAACTGTATTCTTATGCTAGTCTATCTAATTTAAAGCGGGATCCTAAACACTGCATGCCTATCACAACGGCACGTACTCCCAAAAAAACAATGCCAACTAGCTAGAACTGAGCAACGGAGAGTTGCTCCGCCCGAAGCAACTGCTTCAGACACAAAGTCACCAAAGCATGAAGCACCATGGAGTACATATGTATGTAATAAACACACAACACAAATGAAAAAAAAAAAAAAAAAAAAATATAAAAAAAAAATAGTCAGACAAAAGAATTTCAGTAATTCCAGCATAAAACTCTATCTAAAATCAGGGCAACAATCAACAAAAACCGAAACAAGCAAGATCCGAAACCGTTTCTTAATGTCTGCGCATATCGCGTGGGTTTGTCGTTCCGGTCTTGACTAACTGCAGGGCGTACAGAATTGGGGCGGGAGGGGAGGAACAACAGCTACAATTCGTATGACATTCTGAAGGCTGTTTGGCTTCCGAGAAATTGATAAAGCGCTGACTATAAAAAAGTTTGTTGAATTTTCAGTACTACTAAAAATACGACAATATATGAAAGCGCACAAGAAGAAGAAGAAAGCAAAAGCAAGCACAAGAGTTGACAATAAAAACAATAGACAGGTGATCGAGAGCTGCAGAGTGGGTATTGGTGGGTAGTTTTTTGTGGTTATAGAAATCTTATCAAATGTTGAATGGGTACATAAACATTCAGTCAAGTCAAGTCAAGTGGAGTCGCGTCGTCTTTTGTCTGATAACCGATAACGTTTTTGTACCTAGCTTTTTTTTTCTTTTTTTTGCTTTTAATCAAACTCTGCAGTTGTTGGGAATTACATGAATGTGTATTGAATATTGTTCTAAAATTGCAATTGGGAGCTTTACTTTATGGCTGGCCATACGAATGGGCTCAGTCTATGGTCTTTGCACAACTCAAACATGGGAATTAATTGCTCAATTGGCCTGCGCCTCAATTCATTTTTATTTCTATGTAATTTCGTCTTTCTTATTTTTTCTACTTTTATTTATTTTTATTTACTTTTTTTTTCGTATTTAATCAGCGCCTTTCAATGCAATGCAAATTTTGTGTTGATTTAATTATAAATATAGCGTTGATACGGGCATGAGTTAGGATGGGTTATTTTTATGATATATGATACCGATACATATATACATACAGATATACATATATGCTCGTACACATATATAGTCTAGCGCACGCGAAGCTATTTCTTGCGGTTTTGCTTTCCTGAGCTATCAACATGCAAAATGTGATGGGGCGTGTGCCCCAAGGTAACTTTGTCGAATGGAGCATAACAGGATATTGGATACGCTTTGAGCTACGACTAGTAGAAAAGAAAGACAAGTCAAGTGCATTTGCTGACGTAACTAATCAACAGAACTAACGTTTGATATACTTAGATAATGGAAATTAATACACTCAACAATGAGTAAAGTCGCATAGTGCCTATTAGGTAACACTGTATAAAGAAACTTAATGATATTAAATAGTTTACATTTAGATAATCAATCTGAATCAACTAACCGAAGCTGAGTGCATTTGAAAGCCCGAATTACGGCATGATTAAGACATTTATGCGAGTGTAGATCGATTTCCTACTATCGTTAACAATAAAGTGATCAGCTGTTTTTCATGTGATTTATATGCTATGACAGCACAAATAAAAGTCCACTGATTTTAGAAATTTGTTAGCCACTAATCTGATTACACGTTTTCCAATTAATTTTGACGTGCTAAATGCGAGTCTGAAACCAGAATAGCCAAAACTGGTCAGGTTTTCGTTATCAGCTGTTAAATTTACTTAACACCTGGTCTATAGCACCTTCTACGCCTCTCTTTTACAGTTATGATACTTTTTTGGCAAGAGATAATTTCTGGGGTTTTTTAATAGCTTTAAAAAAAAAGATTTTAGAAGGAGAGACGAAAGAGCAGGGAAGATATTTACATATATAAAGGAGAATATATTTAAAAATTCATTTTTCTATGAAATAAATTTATTGCAAGTAAATTTTTAGAGCCAACTGATTTTTTCCTATTATATAAAATATATATGATAAACAAAAAAAAAAAGCTTAATAGAATTATAATTCAACTTCAAATACAAATTAAATATTTAAAAAAAAAATATTTAATTTGTATTTATATATATTAATATTAATTTTGTACAGTCAAAAAAAAAACAAGTGCTTTCTTTTTATTTTCTACTCAGTTTTAGCACACCTTTGTTAAAAAAAAACAAGCTGACTTTGAAAATCCACAAGCCTGCTATAGTTAGCCAACAAAAAACTTGCTAAAGATTGTCCAACATTTTCATCTATTTTTGTTTCTTTTTTTTTTTTTTTTTTTTTGTGTTGCGTGTTTGGTCAATTTGCGTGTGAGTCTCAATGGATTTTGGAGGTCCAATGGCAACCACAAGCGAATTCCTGAGCTGAGGCCACGACATGTTTTTTCTTGCTTAAAGGTCACACAACTGTATATATATGTATGTATATACATGTGTGTGAATCGAAATATTTGGCACTAATGTGTCGCACATTAAATCTATCTCACATAGTCGAACTCATTAGGATAATGGGCGCTGTAAAACCGCTGCGAGTCGATTATTAAAATTAAAAGTGAATTTTGTGAAATGGTTCACGAAAACTTTTTTTTTTTGTTTTTTCTCCATTGAGACTCGAGCGGAAGATATGCTGCACTCACTCCCTTCACCTATAAAACGAAACATAGCGCGTGATCCCTATGATAATGTTAATGATAATGATGATGATGGTTTGTAAAATTGAAAGAGGTGCGCCAAAAGAGGCAGTCGTGATTCACAGTGTAGCCCACTTTAAAGACCATTAGCGGTTTTTCGTACAACATTGCATAACACACATTTCGAGTGTCAGAGATAGATATATACATATCTGAGATATCATAAGCTAGACTTACCCAGTCGTTGAAGCCCAGCTTCGCCAGCTCACACTGCGTGCTCTGAGATGATTCTGATGCCTTTATTAATTTGCCGGTATCTGCAATGCAAGATATATAGGCAGCCGATGTTATATATGTGGCTAATTGGGATGTTTATGTTGTTCTCCTCTGGCTTACCATTGTTTAGAATTTGCTGCAGAAATATTCGCAGCTCTATTGTTTCCGTTACCAGCGCACGGCAGACGGCTTTATAGTGGTTCTCTGGTAATGCGGGCTTTATATGATTTCTGCAGGTCTGTAAATGAAAAACAAAAATGGTTTTATTATAAGAAACAAATTTCAAATAGGAAAAGTAATAAAATGCCGGATAAGATAAGTTGTCCAAGTAAAAAATATCTGAACAAATGCAAAGAACTAATTTTTTTAGCTGAAATAAATAATTTGTTAGACAATTTTTTTTTTTTTTTTTTGAAATATATGTATATGCTTTATTCATTCAAATATTCTTTTTTTTTTTCTAACTATCTATAATTTTGAATACAAAAGCCAAAAGTATACTTTATTTTTTTTTTATTTAGGCCTAAGAAATTTAATTGCTAAGATTTTTTGGTTTTTTATTTTTTTTTTATTATTATATAATCATATACATTTTGGATGTATATTTAACTATCTTTTTTTTTTTATAGTTTCTAGTCTACGTCTAAATCTTCTAAAAAGTCTGTTTTAATTTTTTTTTTTGAAGTTTTTATATTTAAAATAAATTATTGTATGCATGCCCATAATACATTTTTTAATTGTATTTTTCCCTCCCTTTTCCTTATACTTTTTCCTTTATCATTCTATACTTTCTTCTATTAACATCTTTTACATATCCATCATTATAATCAATTCTACATTAGCAACATTTATTGACTCGCTTATTTAGCACAAGCAGAGAAGAAAATGCATTGCAAAATTTCAACAGCTGCATCTTCTTTTCTAATTAGCTCTCCAGCTGGGCTAACAATGTGCTTAACTGGGCCATAATGTCATGTTTAGCAATCGATAAGCCCTCGTGCTGGCCATGCCATATGCAGATGCTTCATACATTTGCATTTGGCGCAAATGTGTTAGAAAAGCCAGGCATGTGGAAAATATTGCAAGCCACCGGCGAGTGGTGCGCCCGGTGGGGCACTGCTCAATGTTGCCTGACAGTAATGTGTCAATTCTATAAAGCGGCTCATTAGAGTGGGGCTAGAATGCGCCAACAGGTGGCGCTGCTTCTGCATGATGAGCAAATGCGCATTGAGCTGGAACGCAGCGAATCGTTTCGGATCGGGTCGGGGATTCATACCCATTATGTTGGCTAGCATCGATAGAGCGGACCCAATCAGCAATGCATTGCTGTTTATCACACGCCTCAATGCCAAATTACCAAATGATCGTGATCTTTTGGTTACATGGTTGAGGCTGGGGAACGCCTTGACTTGCAGCGCAGTGCGAAACGTGAATTCCTACAACGCATTTAGCTGTGAAATCAAGTGCAGAGTGATTTCCTATTACGAAATGGCTGCAGCTTGATGGCTATTCGGTTATTCAATATCTGAGGCAATTGAGATCTGGTCTGGTCGGGTCTGGCTGGGGTAATCTAGAACCCGGGCAATTGAGCCAGCCAACTGAGCGCTTGTTGTTTTGCGGTTAGCCGCGTTATAGATACACCAGCAGATACAAATGCCTAGATACTGCTAACAAGTATCTCTGGAGAGTGCGCCTCACTTGGTTAACTGTAAGTGCAACTGATGTTGCTGTTGTTGCTGCTGCGTTCATGCAACGTGCGCCAAACAAGTTTTCCCACACTTCCAACTGCAACTGCATATCCATAACTCTTTCCATCTGCATGTGGCTGCATATATACAAACATAAACGTAAAATATATGTATATATGGTATAGTTTATAAATCTGTGTGGATATCTGCCAAATGGAGCAGTCAAAACCTGGTCAAAAGGTTAGCCCAATGACGGCACACCTTCAATGGCAGAGCAAGAATGCTCACGAAAGATTAGGAAATAAAATACCCTATGATATAATTATTAATAAATATAACTCTTTCTGGAATTTCTGTATATCATACATAGTATGCATTTCTATAATATTTTTAAAATGAAAATAAATGTATTATGCTAAGAATATTATTTACAAGAATATTAGTCACAGCTTCTCTCTCATCTTCTCTACAAAATATGAAGGAACTCTACAATTCTTGATCTGATCGCTCATTTCTCTTCATAATCCACAGCTATTCTCTTAAATGCTTTTCAGTATATTTCGATTGCATGCCTGCAATCTCTATACTATATATTTTACAGGGTATCTGCTCTGCTGGCCAAACTGACTCATAATGCCAAAAGTTCAGTTCAGCTGGCAAAAACTTTGATTTGATTCAATTTGCATTCGTGTTTGGGCAATTTATCAGCTGCCGCCTGACAAACAAAATGCAAAAAAAATGTCGAAATGTCAAGAGTTGTTTTTTTCTTACCTCGATTATATGCTCCAGTTCTTTGGTATTGTTGCGTTCCTCCTCCGTCTCGTCGTCCCAGCGCTTGTCGCCCTCCTCAATGCCCTCATCAATGCAGTCATCGTCATTTTCTGCCATGGAAAAACAAAACATTTAGATTAATGGAAAATCATTCAGCGAGTTATTCACACTGTGACGAATTGGGTAATCTAAGCTCAAGCCCAGCATTTTTTTTTAATCTGTTTGTGTTTGCTGTTTTTTTCTTCTTTTTCCCCCTTTTTAATTTAAGTAAATCACATTTGAGTAAATGCCGCATGATATGGACGATGTATCCAAGTGATTCATTTAGCCAACCTTGCACAGCTGATTGCGACTGTGTAAAGACCTTGTGTTATGGAGCCCTTATCAAGAGTAGCTCAACGACTTAATTTGTACTTTTTCTTTAATCTAAATATTGCATTACTTCAGCAGATGATTCAAGCAAATAAAAATATTTAAATGCCTCATATTGTACTACATTTCACAATATTAAATCTGTATATAACATTTATTAATCTATTCCTTGAATTGTTCATATTTTCTTATATTTCATGCCATTGTCGATAATAAAACTAATGAACTGCTGGCAGTGCGGATGATGTTTTCTATAAATAAGGAATATGAAGTAAGCTAGAACTGTTTAATTAGACATAGACCTATTTTTTCTTAAAAATAATAATATCTAATACCTAATATCTTTGAGTATATACCCCTTAGAATACCCCTTAGAATTAAAATTTTAGACATTCACTTACCATCTGCTGTCATGTAATGAAAGAGATTCTCAAGCTCTTGCGACATTTGGCATTCCTCGTCCTCTGGAAAGTTATAATCCAATGCGGCATAAACAACTTCCGCCAGTTCGTTAATGATCTGCAATGGAAAAGATTGCGAGAAATGTATGAAAATCAGATAATATACAAAAAATATAATAAATAAATGTCTAACCAACTGGGTAGCTGAACCTGACTCATTTTTGCAATAGTCGACTCAACTATTAACGCTAAGGGACATTGCATTTTAGTAAATTAAAGACTTTACAAACGCTGGCTATGTCATTCACTCTGTAGCCCTTTCTATTGCCAGGGCTTGTCTGTCCAGGCATTTGACTTGCCGCTGGCTCTGTGTCGCGCAGTTGGTTTCGCTGTCAGTTCATTAAACTGACACTTTAATTGGAGTTTGAAGTTGACGCTACGTAGAAACTGAAGCAACAGCGCGCAAACAAACACTAATTGTTTGTTGTTGTGGTTGTTGTTGTTGTTACTCGCTACAGTTTTTTGCCTGTTGAAGTTCGAGTTCAGGTGCAACAGCAACAGCAGCAGCAGGCGTCAACTTCAACTTGAAGTCAGCTACAAGACACAACAACGATGACAACATTCAAACGCCCAAGTGCAACACATTGCTAGCTGTTGTTATTGTTTGTTTGTTTTTAGCGGCTATTGTTCACTTTCACTTCGCTGTTTGCTGGGGCACTTGCCAAAAGTGTTAAAACACTAAAGACCGAAGAAGCCGTTAAATAATAATTTGCAGCTGCCAACCAATTGCGTTCGGGCTGCCAGTGAACCTTAAAAAAACCCAAAAAAAAAAAAAAAAAAAAAAACTCGATCAACCACATCATAGCTAAAAAAACCACGCCAAAATATTTCGATGCCGCCGGATTATAAAACACAAACTTGCAAAAAAAGCCTGGAGAGGAGGAGGTGGCTCTACGTCCATGTCAGTTACCATTGTTCCACTTGATTTCGTTATTATTATGAAAATTAAATGATAAAACATTGTGACAGCTGTGCAGGCGATGCTACCGGCTAGCTGACTGGCATTTACAAAGCCAGACACATGTGGCATGTGGTATAACTAATGGCAGCTCAGCTCAGCGCTGAGTGTGCGGCGCAGAAAGCCGGAGTCGGAGCCAGCATCCCAGACGCGCTTACATCACATTCACAACAAGAAGAGTTCAACGGCGACCGAGCATAATTAATGCGAAAACAAATCAACAGATAAATATATCAGTATATTTGTAGACATATTGAATACCCTCTGTGTTTGTATACCCTAGTATTTTGTAGAGGAAGTGGGCACATGAATGTATGTATATGAATTGTCAGTTTATATACCCTAGTATATTTCACAGATCCATGTTTGTATTTCTTGAGACAACAGGCAATGCAGCCTCCTGATATTGTTTTTTCTAATGATCTTTCCTTGTTGATTTTAAATTTGTTGCAAAAAATTAATAAAGTATCAACTGTCATTTCCATTTATTTGTTTAAAAAAAAATTTATAAATAGAAAAGTTAAAATATTTTAATTTAATTTAGCAAATTAAAAAAAAATTAAATATATATATAATATACATCCGATTACTGACTCTATAAACATAAAAAAAAATTTTAACTATAGAAATTTTAAAGTTCATTAAGAATATGCTTGCATAAAAAAAAAAATAAATTATTAAACCGAAAGCTTAGCAATTGTAAAATTAGTAAACAAAAAAAAAAACAATAAAAACAAATATTCAGAATTACTTAATTATGAATTACAGATAAAAAAAAAATATATAAGCAAGCTAAGCAAAATATATTTATATTTTATATTTATACGCTCATATATTTATACTCTAATAAATAACTATGATCAAATATAGTTAAATTAATTTGTTGATTTGTTACATTAATTTTTGTAAGTACCTGTCAGCGGGCTATACAAACATTGTGACAAACCCGTAATGCTCTTTTAGCAAGGCTCTAATTATGTGAGGTGTGGACAAGAGTAGGGAAGCAGAAAAAGCATGTATAACGACCCTGGGAGACTTCTAAGGAGGGCCGTACATCAGCTGGGTCTGGGAAGTTTCTCATGCAATTAGCAAAAGGGGAGAACTGGAAGAACTGGTAGACTGGGAACAAGCTATATAAATGTATACGATGAATGTGCATTGCAGCAGCGATTGTCCATTTTTTTTTTCGTTGTCTGCTAGCTGAAATACCAAAGGGGATTTTGCTGTTAGTTTGCATATCTATTAAACAGGTATATGGAGTACACACCCTCAAGTGTTGTGGCCCCAAATGAAAAATAGTTAAGTTCGTGTTCTCACCAAAAACGAAAGGAAAACGTAAGTAGTGCTTCGTTGCCAATAATATCAAAGTTGAAATCCAAAGCGCAAACATGCAACGCGCCAATTATCAGGCCAACAAGGCGGCCAAAAAAGGTTCACAACACGCCCCCCTCCCACAGCAGCAGCAGCAGCAGCAGCAACAACAGCAACAATAGAAGGAGGCAGGCTAATACCTCAAAGTCCACACCGCGCTGAGGGGTTTGCTGCCTCCTCCTTCCACCCCTTTGGCCAACATGTGGCGTGCCGCTTGTCAATCTTGTCAGTTTAACCTTTCGACTGACCTCCGTGTTCACTTTTCAGTTTGCTTAGCTGTTGCTTGCGACGATTCTTTGCTTTTTGTTTTAGTTTCCTAAGCTAACATTGAAGCATAAAATGGCCAACTTTTTGCCTGCTATTTCAGCGTGCACAATTAAGGCAGCAGCGTAGGTGACAGGAAGTGTGTGGGCGTGGCTGCTTTATGAAGTAGCATATATGCTAGACATCAATTAAATTTATAAGTGTTGTTTTTGTAATTTAGAAAAGGGCTGCTATAACCTTTGATATATGTTGAGAAACCTAGAGGGGGAGCTAAAATAGCGTGAACTCTATTAAATTTATTGGGGTAGGCTAGCTGTTCTACTAAATAAATGAGTTGGGTATATTGAGAAAAAAAATATGATTGAATTGAAGCTAGTTCCATGGGAAATAAAAAAAAGTTCTCAAGCAAAGCTTTGAGCGATCCCTAGGAATTACTGCGAAGTAGATACTTGCATACCTTCCAATAAAATATATAATTTTTCTTGACTATATACATATATCTATTCTAAAATATAATATAAAATTTTTCTTGCCTTAAAAAAAAAATTAACTCATTTCTGATATCTATATATATATTATGTATAAAGAAATGGATCGAATTGACGCATATGGAATAATTATTATAATTAACTTAAGTAATGCCATAGAACGTTTATACAGAAATACATTTATATTTTTATATAATGCACTAATTGACATTAGATTAAACAGAGTAATAATACTTGAAATAGTAAAACACACATGAAATAGTCATATAGCAGTACGATTCCCGACTGGTTCAAGCCGTAAGCTTCCACCAACTTTTGAAGTAAACAAAAATCAAGAGTTACACCTCCATGCAAGTTTTTCACACTGTCAACTATTAATCAGTCCCTGCCTAATATAAGTCTAAGTGCAAGTTTTCAGTATGTTATCGCACAGATTCTTATCGCTGTTGCCAGGTTGACACCAAACAGAAGCAGAAGAAGATCTCTGCCCGTCTCAATGGACTGCTAATCGCAACAGTAGCTCGCTCATAAGCTATATACAGTCTCTGTCTGTGACAGTATCAGAGATTACGGATCAGCTGAAAGCAAGCTGCGGTTCATTCAAAACTCACTCCGAATGATGAAAACAAACAGAAATGTGAAATTATTATTGTTATACTACGGTTGCTGTCTCTTTGGCAAGAGCGTCGCAAATCGTGCGAATCTTTTGCTTTATGTTTTTGTACAAATAATAATTTTAGACTTGTAATACCTAAGCGCAGCTATATAGATATGGGTATATAGAAAATTAACCCAGTTCGCACGTCGATGCCGAAACAAACATAAAGCAAAAGCAGAAGAAAATACACACAGTAAGGTGCATGGCATAGCATAGTTAAGTACTATATACTGTATATACGTACATATCTAAGTCGTATATGCACATAGACAGCAAGGCCTCAAGTGCCTCGCCAGGTGGAATTGGGATGGGGTGTGGGTGCGGGTGCGGCATTGTAAGCGAGCTAATTGCAGGCGAATGCGACAGAATGTGCAAATATTATTATTAGAAATGCCACTAGTTACAGCTAGAGATAGACAGATAGTTAACGACAAAAAGGCCACGCACTCATTCACACTCATTTACGCGCATATTCACATTCACATTCACACACTCAGCGATTCACTTTCACCTGCTGATAAACAGAGAACCTGAGCATGTTGCGTGGTTGCGACTTTAGTTCGTACTTCTCAACATGCATTTAAAATTCATAATTTTTTCCTCTTTTTTCGCAGCTCTATCTATGCCCCCGCCACTTCTCTCAGTTTCTGTCTCTATCTCTCTCTCTCTGTCTCCCTCTCTCTCTCTCTCTCTCTTTAGAGCCCGTCTCCCTATGGCGTATTTGGGTCAAACATGCAAACTCAATGAGTCTGAGACTCGCAGTCTCGTCGCTGCCAAACTGGAAAAGCACAAATCTAAAATTGTATAACCTGCTCTGGCTTGGCTCAAGCGCTGCAATCGCTAGAGATGGGAGGCTTTAGCCTTTGAGTAGCACGAAAATATTGATTGGCGATTTATGAATAATCGAAAAGAATATTGAATCTATACTATATAACTACATAGGTAGTAATTATAGGTAAGTATTAGAAACAAGTATTTGACCATATATATATTTAGTGATGAGCGCGTTATTGATAGTACACCATCGTATATATTATATATTTATTTCATATATAAATAAATTTATAAATATGACTAATTATTGAATGACCACTTTCATTAAATATTTAAACAACTGTCTGCTATCTATAACCTAAGCAACTGCTGAAATATAGCTAACAGAAATAATATCACTCTTGTTTGGTCAGCCTTTCGTCATCTAGCTCAAAACTTACTTACAGACATACCTATTATATCTATATGAAACCAACATAATATAAAAAATAAAATATGTATATAACTTCACATTTAACCCAAAAGAGCAGAAATCGATTCTAGAT